TTTTTTTTTTTTCTTTTGAGTACCACTAAGTTTTCCATAGCCACAAATCTCCTTGAACCTACTATCTACATATCTCCTTGAACCTACCATTCACAAATATGAAGATTTTTTGTATTAAAGAGAAGAAAGATGGAATTTGGTGGGAGCAAGGGATCTTGCAAACTTCGGTCGTCACTACTGCTTTCGTCAATGATGAGCAGTTGAGGGAGGTTGGGGAAGAGACGATCAAGTTATTTTACAGTGGATATAGAATTTCTCTGTTAAGTTAAATTGTGGTCATTGTTGAGTTTAAACCATCTTTCGGACAAGTCATCCATTCTCGTTACCGAATAGATTAGAAAGAGGTGCCTCCCCTGTTCATCTTCTTCCCATGAACCCAACACTTTACCATTATCTTTCTTCTACTCATTTTTTACTATATTTCTCTTCCTCCCTTCCTTACTGTGACTAGGTTTGTGCAAACACATTGCTGTGTTTACACAAACCAAGATGATTTGGGTTCGAGACAGATCTGGGTTCCTCACAAACCCAGATCTAGCTTAACAAACGAACCCAACACATGAACTCACTGGATTTCAAGCATAACCCTTTTCCTTCCATCCGTTTCAGACGAGTGAAGGATGCTAAGTTTGTTCTAAATCTATGGTTTATTAATGTTGATTTTACTTGGAATCTCATGATTTTGATTATTCTGCACTATCTTTTTCTCCAATGTTGTGGGTTTAGAATCGCTATTCAAAATTGTGATTAAAGGCTTGTGGAAGACCAACCCAATTTTGTTTCAATTTAGAAGCGTACATCTCCAAAAAGCACTCTGATGGATCTGCTTCTCCATCCCTCAAGCAAAAGCAACTACATAAGCTACAAATGAAATACACAGAAGAGGAGATGGTGATATCACCATCTGTAGATGAGGGCAAGACTCTTGTTGTTGGTTGTTTGGAGACGATATAAGGCATGGCTAGATGAATGGCTATTGAGACAAGTATTTCTCCATTTTATTTCAAGCCACTGTCGAATAAGATGTGTCCTGCTAGACGTTGAACCAGCGGGCACATATCACTGTCCTAGCAAATAACATGGTCTTGTAGGCGTGTTTTGACTCTAATATTTTATAAATTCAAGAATAAGTGTTTAATGTGGATATATAAAAGTAATTAAAGATATTTTAATGTGTTTGTTGATTAGTTTCAGAGATTCAGGGAGATGCATTGCATCTATTGATTCAAGATTGAACCATTGAAACTTAACGTCAATTAATCTGACATAGAAGAATGATAGTCCAGTTACGCCTCCTCATTAAAGTCCAAGTTGTAGGTAGCATTTGTTGCTCAGCTAAAAGTTTATTCTCAGTTTTTACCTTGTTAAGTTATAAGTTTTAATTTTTTATTTTATATTATGATATTTTAATTTTTTATTTATTAAAATTAAAAAAAATAATTTATACTTTATAATACTCTTTTTGTAATACTTTCTTTGTTTCACATTATCTAGCATTATGAAAAGAAATTTTTGTTTCTAAATAACTAACAATTTAAAATATCAATGTCATGTTAATTATTATTATTTTTTAATTTGCCCTTCTCTCATAAAATATATTCATTCATTGATTCATCTGTTTTTTTTTTTATCATTTTTATTAAAATGGTAAGATAGTACTTTAAGTTTATATATCCTTAAAATCAAGAGTAATAAATTACTTTTTTAATTAATGTACAAAAACCTAAAACAACATATAATGTGTAACAGAAGGAGTATTTCATTAGTTCTGTTAATTGATTGTTAACTCTGTTAGTTAAAAATAAGTTTTTACTATCTAACAACCAATTAATAATCAATTAATAGAATTAACAGTTAATAACAGAATAGTTTTGTTAACTAACTGTTAACTTTATTAGTTAAAAATATATTTTTGTCAGTTAACAATCAACAAATAAAGTTAACAGTCAATTAATAAAATTAATAATTAATTAATAGAGTTAATAATCAATTAATAAAATTAACAGTCAGTAAATAAAATTAATAATTAATTAATAAAATTAACGAAATTTTATAAATGAAATTTTTTTTAATTTTAATAAATAATGAGTTAAAAATATTATAAGATAAAATAAAAAATTAAAATCTACGAATTTAATAAAATAAAACACTAAAAAATAAATTTTTACCTATTTCTCAAGAGTCGCGAAGCCTGGGGTTGTCGATCTACGGTAAAGAAGTTCAAAAGGGTTGTGCTAACAGTACACGAATGGGGGTTGAGAAGAAGCAACGCAATTTGGAACAGAAATTAATTAAGGTCAAGTCATCTTAAATGTA